GGACTTCGCTTTTCAGATGTCCTTCGGCCAAGAAGGGTAAATTCAACGGGGTCTGAAAGCTCTCCGTCTGCCTGCCGAAATGGTTTCTATTTACGCGCACATCCAGACCTCCAATGAGTTCCTGGCCACCCTCCTTTGTCCGATTGGCCGACTCGGCGAGTAAGATCAATCCGGCGCATGTTCCCCACGTTGGCCGACGGTGGAATCTATTGAAAATTGCATCCAATTGTCAGCCAGCGCGAACATAGTATGAAAAACTGTCAACGTTACTAAAAGAACGAAACGCACTTAACAAAGTCTCTCAGCGGCTCGAGTAATTGCGACCGAGCAGCAACCAGGGAGATGGTAGTGCTCTCCCCGCCGGGAATGATCAAGCCGTCGCATCTTTCGAGTTCCGTCGGGGTGCGAACTTCAATAAAATTCCATTTTTGGAGTTCGTTCGGCGACAGGCTTGCTGCAGCCTTACGTAGGAGTTTCAAATGTTCGTAGAAAGCGCCTTGGAGGGCCAGAACTCCCACAGTAATCGTCATCGCATGAATGAGTGAGTTGGACGAGTCGACATTCTCGAACTCTGACTCCCCGCCGCAAAGAGCTCAGGCTGAGATCGATTATAAAAATCACGTGATATAGAGCAATGTATTAGGCCACTATTATCTCAGCATGCTCAGCCTCTCTTCTCGATATTTTCGGATTAGCGCGACCAACTAAACTCCTTTAGACTTCTGCCAAGTCCTGCTAACTTCTGGACCAATAAGAGACTTCACACGTGCTCGCAACCTAATATCTCGTAGAGAGTCTGAGAAGAAACGGTTCCATCGTGTGTGGAAAATCAACACCGCCCATACAAAATATTCGATTGACTTCGAAATCATACATCTACCCTAAATATCTGCCTGATCATCACCAAACCGATATTTTTCAAATCCTCAGCCATTCTGCTATCATCTCTGCTATTTTACAACTCACTACCCCTTCTCATCATGTCACAATCGTTGACAAAAGACAGCGTGTCTTTTGAATCTCAAGACACCCAATGTCAGACGCGCTCCAGCCAATATCCTTCATCACTCGAAGATGAATCCTCTCTACAACCACTACAGTCTCCCAACAATGTAGATGATGAATATGACACATCAGACAGTGACTTAACAGAGCTTGAATCTATTGATACTCCTTCGGAATTCGAGATCACCGATACTGATACCGATACCCCGCGAGCTTGTTCACGATCAAACCGCCGTGGCCCACAGCACCTGCCTACAATGCCTTATAACCGGCAGAAAAGACGGTCAAAATTATCTCGCGTTGTCAGAACATTACAGCGAAACAGTTGGGGAATGGAGGCCTTTATAGAGGCTTGGATTCAGAGTCCCGATATCTTGACTCATCGACGATACAGTACTCCTACGAAGCGGCGAAATGCACTATATTCAGCACTTTCCAAAGCAGGGGTATTCAATGATAATCAACGTTATACTGTCTTGCTTAAACAGGAGCTGAAATGCCTTATCAATACTCCCTTCTTTGCAAAATTCAATCACGATTCTGATCTGGATACCATTGACTTCCAGGCTACTTTTGAGACCATCCGGACCGACGCGCCAACCTGGTTTGACCTACTTACTCCTGTTCTAAAAAATAAACGCGCCAATCGAAAGAGCTATGAATGGGGCTCAGATGAAACAACAGCTATCAAACGGTTGTTTGTTATTATGAGTATTATATGCCACTCTTATTCCTTGAAAAACTCAAACTTCTTCAGCTCTATTCTCTCTGCATATTTTCATGGCTCGGGAGTAAAACGACGAGTGATAGAAACCATTTCTGGCTTTGGACTCTGTCACAGCTATGTGATGGGGAATAGATTGATGATGGAAATTGCTAAACGAGAGAAGGTATGACTTAATATTCTTAACTTATTAATATTTCTACCTAACATCTCAAACTTCTAGTAATATCTTTCCTGTCAGAATTGTATAGGATTGAAGAATAAGGCTCTTTCCATAGCCAGTTCTGGCAATGAATAAAGTGTCGCTATATCCATATATCATGCGCCGAAGTATACGGACTTGTTCTATGCGTGGCTGAAGAGTACACTCAGGATCTGGACGCGGGCCTTGAAGTATTCGTTGAAGACAATACTGAATAACATCCTGTTGCTTGTCGATACTATCTGGTCCGGCATAGCTCATGACAAGTTGTGGCATATCTTCAATGTTCATTGAAAGTATTTGCTTTAATGATGGCTTTTGAAGCCGCTGTTGTAGCTGACTTGCGCGTTTTCTTCGATCCCCCTTGGCCATATTTGATGCAGTTGATGGGACGTTGTCCGACCCAGCTGTCAAAAAGAAGTGTTATGTGATTGGTTCAGAAGTTGTCGGAAGATCCCAGAAGTTGTCAGGAGTTCAGAGATGTTGTCAGAAGTTGATGTGCCGCGTGAGGTTGCCAAGAGTTCAGAAGTTGTCAGAAGTTGCCAGAAGTTGCCGGAAGTCGCTGGAAAATACACTCGGTGCTTTGACTAGAGTCTCTGATGGCTGGATAGATGTTTTGATGGCAAGATCAAGGCGTTGGATGACTAGACATGATCATGGTTGAAAAATTAGCAAATCGTTCCCGTGTTCAAAATCATAGTAGCAGTTTTCGACGCGACACTTCATACTCAGAATATATGTATTTTCAGATAAAAATTACATCAATCGACAGGAAATTGAAAAATTAACCCTCCAAGGTGGTAGAGAAATGATCTATGAGTGATGTTGCACAGTGATTCTATCTCAAACATTATGGTTGGAGCAATTCGTTCCCGTGTTGCTAACAAACAGGAACCGTTTTTTCTCAGACGCTCCGCGAAGAGTTTGCTGGGGATGTCCCATTTAGGTTTAGTGTAAGCCCCGTGACAGTTGATTGGCTCAGATGTTAGCAGGACTTGGCAGAAAGTAGCAGTAGTTCGGATTGGGTTAGCTCGGAGTGGAGTGGCTGAGTTTACTGAGATAAGGCCACTAGGGCAAAAGAGCTCAATCACCACCAGCGCCGTGGTGGTATAGAGGGTACGAATCACCCAATCCAATCCCCCCAACACAATGTACTTGTACCAAGGTAGTGGACCAGAATCTCCAACAAGCAACCGTACTGTACTTGTCAGCGTCACCTTGCAACGAAGATGGTTGCCCCGCGAAGGAATCTTCTGGACTTCCCTCTCCCTGGCAATTGGCTCACTTCCTATCCCTATCTGTGTCCCAGAATCCACCGGACAGCCAAACTATAGTTGATCGATTACTAATATCTAATTCTCCTGCGACTTTGCGTGCAGGTCAAATTCAAGTTGATATTGGGAGAGGTGCATTTACCATGATCAACAACCATCAGCCAGATCTTACATTATCCGATGTGGCAGCGCACCGAATTCCTCACCAGATCTTCAGCCAGGCAGCTTCCCAAGATGTCCATACCCAGGCTGATATTTTGCATTCGGTGGCAGACTCTTTTTCTTCAACTTCTTCTTGTAAAGCCTGTCAGTTTCATCTGAACCAGGGAAAGGAAGCTGTCTATGGAGACGGGTAAGTAGTAGCAGTCCAAGGTTTTCAACAACTTCAGCTTCCACATCCATTCTTCTTTGATGTATGTATCATTGTGATCAATAACTACAAAATCAAAGATCAACTCAGATAACTCTCCTCTTGATATCCAGGACCAAATGAGGGTATTCTTTGGGCAAAATTTATTATGTTCAATCAAACCTGAATGGATTTGCTTAATGCAAATTTTCAGCATACATTCGGCTGTATTATGCAACACAGTTTCATTGCCACAGGCTTCAGCGGGTATGGAATCAGAATGGCACAAAGAAAATCTTGAGTCATACTGGAAGGGATCTAGATGAGGAGTGCAATTGGCTGGTGGGATGATGTCTAGCATAAGGACATAGAAATTGAGCATAAACGCCAGGATCAGCATCTATTTTGGACTATCTAACCAAATCTCGAATGCCGTTGGGGGATGTGCGCATGTTCAATTACACATCACCTTCGCGCCCGGTGGCCGAAGAGTTGATATATGAAATATGGGGCATGATTCTATCTTCTCATGATTGATATCGAGTTTGAAGCTCTCATTGAATCCTGCCTCGTCACGGGAGGTTTGTTGTCGTTCTTTTTGATGTCTGGTATGGAGACTGCAACACCGTTCCGGTGAGCTGTATGTAAACCGATAATATTTGTTTTGGTGCAGTTCATGGGCTCTATGGAGCTGGGATGGTAGAGCTGGAGGGTTAAAAGTTGGTTTCGTTGATCTCTAGGCTGGTGTGGCACATCACTGTTTTAAATTTCTACCGCATATTTCGAACAACTTTGACCAAGTTAGTAGCTAGATATAGTTACTTCTAATCACGGAAGATTGGTGGTTGGTTAGTCTTGTTGCCGCTAACCTGGATCGCGAGCTCCCCTCAAGTTTAACTAACTATTCAACTAAGTTGACCGTCCCGCGGTTAGTTGCAACATCGAACTTTCATCCATCACACAACCACGCAACTACAACGCTTTCTATGAAATTAATGATACCCTTTTTTTGGCATAGTTTCTGCTTGTATTGCGAAATTGGTTTTTCTACTATCCACGAAATAATCCTACTTTGATACTTCCATTGCCGCATTGCAGATTTAACTGGCGCGGGGTGGTTAATATCCGTATACAAAACACCATTGCATACACTTATTATATGAGATCATCATATAATTATATTCATATTGCTTTCTCTTCGCAGGCATGGCTTTACTGCCATTCCCATCTTCTTCTCCCCCAACCCTAACAAGATGGTACATTGACACCAGGCCTCTAACGGCCACAACCCAATCACTTCCCCTCCTCTCCACCCTCCAAGAATCTGATCAAACAACCATAAAAGCTTTCTACAACCTTTCAGACCGCCACATGTCTCTGGCATCCTATCTATTGAAATACCTCTTCATTCACCGCACATGTCGAGTCCCCTGGAACCAAATCGTCATCAGCCGTACTCCAGCCCCGCATAAAAGACCCTGCTATATCCCCCCCCAGCCGCCGCAGCCATCTCCACCTGCGGATGGTAGTCAAAACCAGAAGCCCCTGATTCCAGTCCCGAATATCGAATTCAACGTCAGCCACCAAGCCTCCCTCATCTCATTGGCGAGATGCATTAGCCCTTCACCACGAAGCTTGGAGGAGACGCCCTCCCCTCAACCCCTCTCCACCCCGAGCGCAAATAACAACCACAATGGTAATAATAACCACGTTCCCAGCCCCCCTCAAATAGGCATAGACATAACCTGCACCGACGACCCATCCCGCTGCCACCGCCACCCGCCACGGACAGAAACCGAACTGTACGACTTCATCGACATCTTCGCCGAAGTCTTCTCCGCAAACGAACTAGCTGCCATGAAGGCATACCCGAGGAGCAGCAGCGGCGGCGGCGGCGGCGGCGGCGGCGGCGGCACCATGAACTTGCAGGAATCCATAACGCACCGCATCCGCCTCTTCTACACCTACTGGGCCCTGAAGGAGGCGTATATTAAAATGACGGGCGAGGCGCTGCTGGCGCCCTGGCTGCGCGATCTGGAGTTTGCAAATGTTGTTGTTCCGGCGCCGCCGCTCTCATGTCCATGTCCATCTCCATCTCCATCTCCATATCCGTCTGCGTCTGCGTCTGCGTCTGCGTCCTCGCTGTGGGGGGTGCCGGAGACGGGGGTTAGGGCTGTGCTCTATGGGTGTGAAGTGCCCGAGGTGCGTTTGGAAGTTGTAGCGTTTGGGAACGACTATATCTTTGCGACAGCGGGTAGGGGGGGTGGGTTTGGGAATTCTATGGGACCGCATGAGGAGGCGGCGCGGTGGGATGAGTTTCGCTTGGTGGATATTGAGAGGGATGTTAAGCCCTGTGCGAGTGGAAAATGTGGATGTTTGCACTAAAAGGGGAGAGGAGGGGGGTGGGGCGGGGAAGGGCGCCGAATTGTATCTTGTTTGGGGGTTGGGTCTGCATTTATGTCTGGGTTTAAGGGTTTTCACTGGGTACAATCTGCTTTACGACCATTTATGAAAATTTGGTCTGTAGTTTTGAAAGGGGACCTATATTTATTACATATAATATTTTGGGGCGATAGGATTATTGTCGTTGTCTTATATGTTTGTTGATCTACCGATCGTAAATCTCAGTCAAATTATATAGATCTATCTATCTATCTATATCCTATCTTTAGACCCGTCATTTCTTTCCCCAAATTGGAGGTAAGAAAAAAGTCTATATATTTACATTGTCCTATCTATCGGTCTATCGTCGTATTGAAGTACCCACATACATACAGACGTCAGCTTTAGACTGGCGGTAGAAAAATGACCACTCAAAGGGGTGGGAAGAGATAAAAGAAACAGCGAGAAAAAAAAAAATCAAAATCGAATAAAAAGACAAGGAGATAAATAGCAACGGGAAAAAACTCCTAGACGCGCTGGAAATGCTCAATGTATAGATACACAGGAAGCGTTTATAGAAAATGCCGACGGCCGCTTCAAGACGAAAAGGAGGAGGCAAGTCGAAGGGGTGAAGTGGGTTTTTTGGGCAAAAACCGCTTCGCCAACCAGTTTCGCGGTGTTCCCAAATTTGGCGTCTCCTACTTATTAGTACAGCGGAGATAGACAAGCAACGAAATGGAAATGGATACGGAAAAATAGAACTCAGGAATAAGGGGCTAAGTGTTCAAGCTCAAGCACACACGTTAATCGGAGGTCTGGTATTGGAATAGGAGCAAACCTTGTACATGTGGCAAGTAAAACACGATGGTAAGAAGGAGGAAGAAAGAAGAAAAGGTCTGTATGTTGTATGAGAGGGGAAGGACACGGATGGGATGGGCATCCCTTCTGGTGCCCAGGTCGGTACGTGTTTCGTTGCTTGGATAGCAGTTGCGTTCAGCGTATCTCTCATGTAGAGAGATATGACGGGCGTTACAGTGCTGGGAATAAAGTCGTTAATTCCCGACACGTCATAAATCCCGTTCCAGTAGTTATATACATTTTATGTACGTCTGTGCGTGAGGGTCCGTTTTATACGTGTCGTAAATGAAAATTAGGAAAAGTGAAAACAGAAAGAAAAAAGGCGATTATGGTTTCCATCGTGCAATATCTCGGTATTTCGGGAAAGCCCATCTCATGTCAATAAATGTGAGTGAGGGAGATGGCGTTGTATTTGTTTCCGCTGGGGGAATATCGAGACCACGCGGTGTAGTACTCCATATAAAACGGACCTAGGAGACAGGGAAAAAAGGGGGTGACGCATTGTGTATCTTCTCTGCGGCTCCTCTCTATTTTACTGCATTCGGGCTGCTTTAAATCTCAATGGCAGTAGAGGAGGCGTGGGAAGCCATTGCGACAGGGCTCCTAGATGACGATTTGTCCATATTTCCGGTGTCTCTCGTCTTGTACATCTCCTGGAGAACTTCCAGCATCGACTCCCGTGCCTTCTTGGTCAGTTCATCAACATCACTGGATTGGAGATTCTTGGTGCTGAGCGGTGGGAGTACTAAGTGCGCGTTAGCCAAATTGCTCCACCGACAAGGTGTGCAGACCATTATGGATATAAATGCGTTGGGTGCTCCCTATCCCGCCGGGCTTGTCGCAAGCAAACGATAACAGGGAGAAAAAAAGAACATGCACACACACGCACACAGACACACACACACCTTTAACCCGAATCGTCCCAGCCTCGAAGCGCAACTTCTTTGCATCCAACAAGTGCGCATAATTCTCCGCCACAATAGGAACAATATCCACACCAGCCTTAATCGCCAAATGGAACGCCCCTTTCTTAAACGGCAACAACACCGGGTCTGCAGAGTAACTCCTCGTCCCCTCCGGGAAAATAAACACGCTCTGCTTCTCCCTCCGCATCTGGTCCGCTGCACCATCAAACGCCTTCAGGGCCGTCTCCCGGTTCGCCCGGTCAATAAACACGGTGCCAGACAGGGTCATGAACCACCCAAGCACCGGCACGCGTGACAGCGACTTCTTGGCCGTCACGCTGCAGTAGGGTGGGAAGATCGCGCCAAGCAACAACACATCTAGCTCCGTCTGGTGGTTTGAGATGAAGACGGCTGGGCGTGTGCTGAGGTGTTCGGCGCCAGAGACGACCTCAAAGCGCGACCCGGTACACAGTCGCATGGCCCATTTGAAGCTGCACGCGACGGTCCACTGCGACAGGCCGCCGTAGCCGAATAGGCGCAAGACGATGGAGGCGACAACGCCGTAGGAGGCGCAGACGACGAGACAGCCATAGGCGGCCAGACAGCGGGCAAAGAAGCCGGCACGCGGGAATTTCAAAGAGAGGCCGAAGAGGGAGACGGTCAGGGCGAGGTAGGAGGTGAGGCTCGTTACGAGGTAGGAGAGGATGGCCATGGTTGGTTTTTGTGGGCGAGTTCCTTTCCAAGTTCTCTTTCCCTTTCGTTTTGCTCTCCTTTCTCTGTCCCTCTCTTTCTCTCTTCCTCTTTAGATTTTCCTTTTGTGTGTGGGATTTTGAGATTGTTCTCTCCCCCCTGTTTTTCTTATCTCTGTTTTTATTTGTGTTGTGGAGAGGGGAGGAAGTGGCGTGGGAATGATGTTGGTTCCAGGGTTGACCCGGTCGGTTGTTGGGTATTAATTTTCGGCGTCAAGAGCGTTTGTTGGGGACCGGCCTGAAGGTGTTTTGACGAGCGGAGCCTCGACATCCGGACAAAACACCGGGCAGACCATATAAATAGATGTATAAAGATAAAATAGAGTGGCCAAGGATTATGGAAATAGCATCCAAGTCGTGAACTCCCTCAGAGCAGTTAAAAAAAAAAGGAAAAGAAAAGAAAAGAAATTATCAGATTCCCCTGCATTATTCACATGCAAATATAATAAATATTTTTGCTTTACGGCTTTCCACCGTACTAACACCCTAATCTTAGCAGGATGCAATAGCTTCATATGTCGGGTGGCCAGATCTCTGCTGACTCTCTGGTAATCTCTCTCTACCTCTCTCTCTATTGTCTATCTGGATGGAAGGGTCCCCACCTGCTCGCTTCTACAGAGGTCTTACGCTGCCTGCCTGCTCATAGGCGGCTCTATAGGATAATAGGAGGGGGAAAGGCCGTAGTAATAACAAAATGCTACTAAGAATAAATCCCGTCTCTACGGGTAATGAGTTTGATTGTATATTCAAAGGGTTGCTCTTACAGCTGTAAAGCCGGGCCAGACATAGGGTTGAGTCGACACTTCCCAAATCCACCACTTGGATATATATCTTCAGGGCTCAGGGTTCAGCATATTTCCCCACTACCACTCCAATCAGTCCCACCCTTGTCACAGTTCCTCAGTCGAGAGAAATGTGTACATCTGCGCAAGTTGTTATCCAGAATTAAATAAAGGAAAGAAGTGTGGCGAAAGTAAGAAACGGCGAAATAAAACAAGAAAAAAAAAGGAGGCGCGAAAAGAAGATGAAGAAATTGTCTAAACAGATCGCATATCCAGAAACGCCTGTTTCTCATGCTCATGCTCCATGTTCATGCTCGTGCATGCCGTGCCATTTTTGAAAAAAATGAAAGAAAAACGAAAATTCCAAACACCAAACCGAATGCCCAGAACCAGAACGGGGGGGTAAAAACGCCCAAATCAAATCAAATCAAAAACCACATCTAGAACGAACTCTCGTTCAGCTAAAATGACAAGACAGTAATTGGAGACACACGTGAGGTGACGGTAGAGCGGGGAGAATGATAAGAGGTAGGAGGAAGAGCAACAAGGCTGGGGTGTGAGCGGATCCATAGAATGGAATGAGAGGGAGATGTCTATAATGGGGAATTCAGGAAACAAGATACACAGCAGCAAAACTGCGCTTTCATCATCCCATATCTTCATCATCGTCTTCGGGATTCTCCAACGATTCCATCGCATCCTTGATAAACTGAGCAGCCTATATTTCGAAATTTTTTGTTAGCGTATACCCCGACTAGTTAGGCGAGTGGGGCTTAGAAGAAAAGAGAAGTAGAAACATACCTTTGGATCCAAATTTAAGGCCGTTGTGAAATGCTTGATCGCATTGGCCTTGTCATGGAGCATTTTATACAACTTCCCCAGCAGGTAATGTACATTCGGTTCATCAGGTGCAAGATCCTTCAGAATCTTGAGTTCCACATGTGCAAGTTTGAGCTCATTAAGCTTCATTAAAACCCGCGCCTTGCGCAGTCGAGCAAGAACTGACTGGGGCGCAAGTGTACAGGCTCGCCCGTACTGAAGCAATGCCGCCTTTTGATTGCCCATCCTCTCCAGCACCAGACCAATACACCACACCAACACCGCGTTGGTCGGGTTGATATTGGACGCCGTTCGATAGTGCTGTTCCGCAACTTATATTTAACCCATTTTCTCATATACTTTGCCAATACCGAACCTAGCATTATAATGTCTGCTGTCAGCGCTGATTCCATGTCTTTATGCATCCAACGCCTTATCATATTCTTCATTCGAGACGTGCTCATGGCCTTGCAAGGTGAAGGCGTAGGCAAAAGTGTGATCCAATTGCGTTGCCCGTTTGAAGCACTTGAGCGCCTGGTCATGGTCAGATTGCAAAGAGAAGGAGTTACCTATGGCACACCAGGCTTGCGGCGAGAGTCGGTCTATCTCCATCAGTTCGTGTGCCAGGTATGCCAATTCTACTTCATTTTTCAAATGCCATAGAACTGTAGAATAAACTTCCATATCCTCCAACCTCGACGGTGCGATAGTTTTAACACGAATGAAATATTTTTCAGCTTCTGCATATAAACCTTGCTCGTAATTCGCTCGACCAATCTGTGACAGAACCCAAGGTGTTTCCCGCTGGCTTTGCGGGAGTGTGTTGAATATTTGTATTGCCTCTTGGCACTTATATGTTGTAAGCGCTGCGTGACCTTCCGCAAGTTTTGCAAAAAGATCCAAGACCCAGTTAAGCGCTTCGATGTCCTTGGATTTGTCCAGCACGGAGTTCTTCGATTGTCCACCGACCACACCATTCGGAACCGCAGAAACGGGAACTCCTCGACTCTCTTTACTGTCGATGTCCATTCCATCTGGAGCTGCCTTTCGATTACCGCTCACCACTCGGCCCATCGTCGAGGTCGACCCAGAAGCGCTTCGAGATTTCGCACCTGTAGACTTCACCTTTTTGATCTCTCGACCCTCCCGCGCTCCGAACGCCGCAGAAGTTGTTGAAAATTTGCTGCTGGTTGGGCGGATTTGGTTAAACAGCCGTACACTTCGTCGCTGTGGAGCTCCTGGCTCAGGGGGTTGTGAGCTTGTTGGGTGGGCAACCTGACCGGATATAGTCCTTTTTCGTTCGCCCCCATATGCAGGCGGGGCAGTTTCCCTAGAGACAATAACGGGGTTCGGATCCTCTGAGTCCACCTTAGTCTTACTTCGGGGTTTGATTGTCGCTTTCATTTTGGGTGGGGGATCGGCACCATAATCCAGACTCAGGGTCTGTATGGTTTTGTTCTTCCTGGCAGGTGCAAGAGGGGGATCCCAAGTCTGTTCACCAGAAGCGACACCACCACCACCGCCTCGAAATTCGTCCGAATCGCTTTGTGCAATGGGAGTTTCCAGACCTTCAGGAGCCGGGGCATTGATCGAAACAACATTGCTGCCATTTAGCTTTTCCCAAAGCGCGGAGGAGCCATTCGCGGCATCAGTACGGGCATTAAACGAAGCGAACGGATCCAAGTTATGGTTAATATTTGGCTGAACCTGCAAGGGGCCGTTTGTTTGTGCAACTTTCTCGAAAACTGGAAGACTTTCGCCCGCAGGCGAGGACGGAAGCATTGCCAACATTTCTGGAGATATCTTATAGATGTTGGGGATCCGTATATTGGCACCTTTTCCATTTGGTATACTGTTAGCAGTTGTCACCACACCAAACCATCGAAGAGCTCTTGCTATTTTGTTTATTGTTTACCTGTTTGGCAGAGACCGAGAAATGCATCCCAAAGGAAAGGGTTTAGTTTCAAAGCCTCAACGTAGCAATCGACCGCCTTATGCGGATCCTGGTGGGCGTGCCACAGCTTTCCTTGTAGGCAAAGACATGCCGCAGCATCAGGGAGATGCTGTCGTCTTGTTTCGCTATGTTTATCTACATTTGGGAAGTTGTCAGCTTTACTCCCCACATAGTCCCATTGCGCAGTCCTCGCATATACATATCTATAACTGAGGCAATTTTTTTTTTTTTAAAAAGGACCTGTTACTTACTCCAAGTATTCTTGGAAGCCCACAGACCCCTACTCCGCTCCAATGCAGTAATCCCTTCAATGTACTTGCCCAAGTCCAGGCATGCTTGAGCATAGACGTACGAACACCCAGAATGCGTCCCTCTGGACCCAGAATTCCTGCTGTATTCCCAAGCAGCCTTCGGCTGGCCGCTCTGGAGGTGGCAAAGGGCGAGGAGGAAAGAGGCCTCAGAAGACCGGGGCTCAAAAGCATGGAGACGGCCGGCAAGGAAGAGGGCGTTGCGGATGAGGTTATTATCGAGATGATAGTATATCAATTGCCTCAACTGGCTAGAGATGTGGGGAGCAGAGGGCGCCATGGCATAGGCTGAGGATTTTATATTACTATTTTGTTGTTTGCTTTGTATGCGTTTCGAGGTTGAAGTGGGTTCCTAGGGCAGGACGAGCAGAGGTAGCGGATGGCGTATTCTCTCCCGGGAGTAATTCATGCAGGTATGGAGGAGGGGTGTGGGGGTATGTGGTTATTGAGGTAGATGAGAGTATGTATTATTCGTGTAGGTGTTGGAGGTGGAGGTGGAGGTGGAGGTGGAGATTTTTGGTATGTTTGCCCAAACGGGAAACCGGGGAAGTTGCGAGACAGGACACCACGCGCCTTTTCATGTAAAGGTTGAAGGACAGTTCACTGTGGGGATGACAAAGGGCATCTTCCCCCGCAAATTCAATCGAGACTGGATCCTAGGGGATTTCGAGGCGGCGAGCAGGAGGAGGAGCAGTTTTCCTGTTCTCAAACACCAAATCAGGCTTAACGAGACAACAACAGCAAGTACCAGTTTCTATGGGCAGCGGTCTAGGCTGGCATATTGCGTTGGGTCAAGAGGATCCCAAGATGGCCATAAGGATGCAACTGAAGCGTCCACAGAGAGATGCGGGCGGGAGGTTAGCTGAGACGGGATATAGACAGCGACCGCAGGAGTTAATCGATCGATGGATTGGGATGTTTTGGAGGTCACTGGACAAACCCTGTGGCTGGTGGCAGCTGGGCGGTGGCGGGCGGTGGACGAGTACCTGTGGTTGGGTGGTGGAAGGCTGGGCTGCCAGGTACCAGTCCATAGACTCCGTATCGCGTTGCCATGTCAATAAAAGCCTGCATACGCTGGTGGAGTTTACACCATAGGAATCATGTATCACATTATTTTATTCTACTGATTAAATCAAGATCCATGGACCTATAATAGGCGTAGTTGCTGGACTCTGGATTGTCCCCGGAGTTTTCCACTCCTCACAAACAAAACACGTCCACAACACCTCTACACACAATCTATAATATATAGCCCAATCGCGGGCAGTAACACCAATAAAATGGCACAGGTAATACCTTCTCCCCCCTCCAATTCTCCCAATCCAATTAGTACTAATCAAAACCCTCACACCCAGAAAGCCGCCAAAACTCTCGCAACCCGCAACACCAGCCTCCTCAACCGCACGCACCTAACGACCCTATCCCTCCACCTCATCTACTTGCTCCTCCACTTCCTCTTCAACCGCCCCCGCTCCCTAACCCTCTACCTCATTTTCACAACTCCAACCCTCGCCATAGAATTCTACCTCGAGCGCCTGGGTCGCCCGCGCTATAAAACTCCTGGTGCTGGGGCCGGCGGCGGATCCACCCTTCGCTCTGCTGGTGAAAACCTAGACGCACCTGGTCTCACAGAGTATTTTTGGGATGTAATGTATTGGACGTGGGGGTGTATGGGGGCTGTTTGTGTCTTTGGTGACCGCGCGTGGTGGTTGTGGGTGATTGTACCGTTGTACTCGGCGTGGTTGCTCTATTCGACATTTGCTGGGTTTAAAGGGGGTATGGCGGGCATGGCGGGGTTGGGGGAGGGTGCTACGGGTGGCGAGGGCACGGAGAGCAAGAGACAGAAGAAGATGGAGAAGAGGGGAGGGGCGCAAAGGGTTAGGTATCGGTGATGGCTTTTTGGACGGGGTGTTTGGTCCCTTACGACATATGCGGCTACGGGTCGCGGATTTTGCCCGCTTTTTTCGCTTTTCTTTATTTTAGATTGCCCAAAACCGAAAAGCGCGGCCGCTGTGTTATTGTATACTCATGTATATTGCTGGTGTTTTCATTTCCAGGAGGAACTTT